TGTGTGTGTGTGTGTGTCATGCAGTGTAAATTCTCTTTTGCCACCAGAGAAACATCTGCGTGAGGCTCCAGCACTCATTTCAGTGCTTTGGCAGAGACATTCCTCAGTGTTGAATGCTTGTATAAGACGCACTCTTTCCTCTAAACATGCAAATGAGTCTTTTACACATGCCTGGGGATTACATGGCCTGTTGTGAGGAGCCACCGTCTCTCATGCAGAGTGTTCTACAGTGGCTTTCAGGCTGCTGGGGCAAATTTCTGGGCTGCCTTTTGAGGTTCTTGTTATAATATCATGTGAGAAACAAGTGAAGTGAGTGTGACTAGCAAAATCATCTGGTTTGTCTCAGCTAGGATCAGATATTATTGTGTTTGGCTTTATAAAAATATCAGTTTCCCTCTTGTCCAATGAATAATTGGTCTAATAATGTCTGGGAACTTGACTGCATGTCTCTCTCTCTGGTTTCTCTCTATTCATGAATATATTAAACAAACACTTTTAAAATGCTCAGTTCAGAAAACAGACCTTAGCAGTGAGATAGCAGATTGCAACCAACTGAGACCCCGCAAAGGAGAAACTATGGTGGGCGTGAAATGTGTGAAAAATGCAAAAGGCCGATTTAACGCCAGTGTTTAGTTTTTCGATTTTTTTTTTCAGGTGATTACAAACTAATGAAAACATACCTATGAAGATTCTATTCCATTTCTGTTATATTCTGTAAATAAATGTTACACTCTGGGCCTTTAAACAACTTTAATATTACTATATTATGAAACTGAAATCTGTAACATCAAACTTGACCAAGACCCAACATGTTACCCGACCTGACTGGGTGTGCCTGCCTTCTATATATGCCATTAAGTAGCTATTGTGCAGACATAGCACACACACATACATTGCACAGAGGCTTGGTCATTTCCTGCAGTGGAAGCTGTGTGAGGCCGATGTAGTGAACTTGAGGTTTGCAATGAATGAAGAGCCGCTGAGAGGTATGCACATAGTGTTTTCTTTTGACGGACAGACTGAGCGTACTATATTAAAACCCTCCGATTGGCGCGATTGCCACTGGATTCCCAGCATTCCCCTTTGGCTGTGCACAGCTCCCATATAAGGAGAGGAATAAAGCAAAAAATTACCCCTGGGTTCTTTTATAAGACCTGGCAGTATGTTTGTGCTGGTTCAGTGTGCATGGCTTAACAACACATTAAAAATACAGTGGGCAGAAATAGCTCCAATGTATGTTCTGAATGTGCACTTTGTTTGCATTTATTTTGGAACTTGGAAGACATTTCCAGCTGCACTACGTGAAGCTTCATTCCAGCATGTAAATATAGCAGCACTGTCAAAAGATTGCTTCCTGAAATTTATTAGCCAGTTTATCATAAAAATTGATGTGTTTATGTTCCAAAAACGGTAAACGGTTCTTAATGGATGATACATTAAAATAACACACTTGTATTTAACACAATACTTTTGTCTGCAGACCAAATTTTTTATCCAGTGATAAATATCAACATATTTTTGTAAGGGAACTCTTTCATTTATTTTCCTAAACATGCATGATTACACTTCCTCATTGAGAATTGATATGCTGGCTCAGTTTGTGTTGTTGTCAGCTTTGTTGTTTGTTTTATCAATCTTACCTTTACATTCAATTCTTGATCTAAAAGGATGTTCTCCAGCTTGAGGTCTCGATGCACAACACCGTTCTGCAAAAAAGCAGAGAAACATGAGGTCTTGCACTGCTCCTCCCACCGCTTTACAGTCAGATGCTTTCGCTCTGTATGCAAACACAAGAATGAAGGGTGTGAAGTGTACAATATAAACCGAGCCTGTGGTGCCTGGCAGCTTTGTCCGTCATTTATAATTTTATAACCATTAACATTCCATTCGGGCCTTGTGTTGCGGGGCCATGTGTCGAACATATCGGAGAGCCTCGAGAAAGGCTCTCCGACTGTTTCTACAGGGATGAGGAAGTGCTTTGTTTGGGTTTATTCATCTGATGAGATGCGATTTGATCCCCTGATGGCAGTAAGCACCTGGAAGCCAACAAGAGGCCACAAAGTGTAGACAGCTGTGGACCCTGGCGAGAAAAAGGTGCACTGGAGGTTTCGATTGCAAAATCTTTGCAAGATTGCTCCTGTTTCCCTGACACTGAATTGGTAGCGAATCATAAGTAGCGACAAATAGACCGATATAGATAACTGTGACCACCCAGGAAGCCATGTGACGCAGGGAAACTTTAAACATTGCTGTCAGTTTCTCTTAAAGCCACTGGCTAATGAGCAAGAATAGCCTCCTTTCGTTCGTTAATTACATCCTCTTCAGAGCACTTAAGTGGAGGAAGTGACCCATGACCTTAGACAATGTTTTGTGCACAGTATCTAAGCCTTTGTATGAATGTGTATGTGTGTGTGTGTGTATGCAAGGCAGAGACAAGGAGAAAGAAAAGAATATATGTGGTCAACCACGTTAGTATTCTTGCTATTTTACAGCACAAAAAAAAAGAGCAGCAAATGACTTGGAATTATTTTCATTCTTCTTTTGAAGCCTCAATAATCCCTCCAAGTACCCGGCATACCTCAGAGGCACATTCAATAATTCATTCATGCCAGAACATTCATGTCTATTTTGGGACAATATTTGAGGGCACGAGGAGCACAACATCCACCTCCCTGCCTACTATAAAGCTACAGGAGCTGAATGATAATCTCTGAGTTTAATACAGGGGATTCATGAAGAATCCAAAATGCCAAAATAAGAAGAATATGAAAACATAAACATTTCCATATCCAAGTCAGCTGATTGTAAGGCCCAGGTCCTCACTTCTACTGTACAGCACCTCTGTATTAATAGGATTTATATATTTACTAATCCCTGTTTTCTGTTGATTTTATGTACACAACAATAAAAACAAACGAAAAACAATGCATAAATTGTTCCTGTGCCAGGGCTTACAGTAATGAGGAAGGACAAAGGAAGCTCATTTAGGTAACGTGTTAAGTTAAGTGTGTCAGTGTGTGACTGTAAAAAACAATGAAGGGATAACGGCTCTTAACCCAGAGAGAGCTGAAATCTCAAGTCAAGTTTTTCTGCAGTATTAGGATTAGGATTTTGTGGATTTACTGTATTTGCTTGTGCACAGCTGAATACCGCAGCAGCATGCAATTCAGCACGTGCCTACATGTGGTTCCCTAATTTATACTGAATTCCAATGGTGTATTTGCAGAAATTGTGTGTGTGCAAACCTTGTGGCAGTAGTGGACAGCAGATGTGATCTGTCTGAAGATGCTTCTGGCTTCTGTTTCTGGCAGTCGCCTCCTCTCCTGGATGTAATCGTACAGCTCTCCCCTGCTGGCGTACTCCATCACTATCACAATCTTATCCCGGCTCTCAAACACTGCACAGGACACATTTACAGTATGGCATTATGCCGATGTGTTTACAGGAGTCTTCCTCACTGTACAACAACAACAGATGCTATTCTGATCAATGATTACTATTCTACAAATGGAGAAATTAATAATTCAGAGGCTGGAAGTTTGATATGTGTGGGTCATTGTATAACTGCATTGTTTTAGTGAAAGTGTTTGAGTCTACATTTCTAAATATCTGTGTTTCTGTGGGGATTTTGGACTGCTTTAAGCTGTGTACTCATGACTTCCAATGTGGCAGTGTGAACAGTAATATCAGAATTAATGTGACTTTTACGTCACTCTAGATCGACATTCGTCATGTAGGTCACTTCAGGACCATGACCTGTTCAGACTGGGATCTGATATGAGCCACAGTTTAAAAAATAAACAGCAAAACAAAAAAATCTGATCAGATCTGAGGCTTGCAGTGTGAACATAGCCTAAGTGTCTCATTAATGTGATTTTAATAGTTTTTGCAGCTCAATTGAAGTCTATGGCACAGAGAAAGAAGTTGTATTAGGCTTGGGCAGATAGGTACTGTCATTTATATATATTTTTTGTATTCAAATGGGATTTGTTGACAAGAACAATCCTTAATGTGCACTGTTGCACAACACTGTAGACTAGCACTAGCACTAACACAGCATCACTAATCTGTACTGTGAGTCACCGATTATGAATTTGCATGAGTTTTGTCTGGTGATGAGAATAAAGGGTAATAATTCACAATGATATTTGTGTGGACTGTACAGGTGCAGTGTGTGTTGTGTTTGCAGACTTACCCTCATGGAAGCGTATGATGTTGGAGTGCCTGAGCCTGGCAGTGATCTCAATCTCTCTCTGGATGTGAATTCTGTCCAGGTCCTCAGTGATGCGCTCCTTACGGATTGACTTGATCGCCACCTGTGAGAAAGGATACACTTTTTGTTTCTGTAGATGTGATATAAACCTTTGTATTCAAATCACACACATTTTGATAACTCTAATGATTAATTGTGGATGGTTAACAACAAAAGGATAATACTTAAACAGAGTTTTAAAGCTCATCTTTCACTGTGGTTATCAAGGGACAGTCACTGGTGTACAACCTTTGTTGTGTTGTTGTGCATTTTCACAGAAGATCTGGTGCCAGTAAACACAGATTCCTCTTTAATTCTTCTGCAAACTCACCAGTTAACTAATTTCTCCCTAACAATGACTCACTCAAGTCATTCATAAGAGCAAGCAAACACTGATAAATGCACTGTTCGTGTGTTATAGACATGCATGGAAACAAAGACATACACACTGTTGATACAATTACATTAACACACACATACACAAATGAAATTTCTGGGCATTAGAGGTGATTATGTGGGTTTTAAGGGCTGAATGGTGAGAGCAGGTCTCCTGTGATCTGAGCACGCTCAGAGGCAGAAGGTTGACAGCTGCACTGTTCACACTCTACTTCATTAATCCTAGGCACTCACTGTACCCCAATGCAACCCCCAACCACCGAACACACGTATACACCGAAACAGACACCCCAACATGAGCCCCTAAACCTCTTTAGATAGAGTAACTGTCACCATACAAGGACAAGACAGAGGTGGACTTATAAACAGACATCAGGGTGTCCTATTTAGAAATACTATAAGCTAAAAACAGAAGAACAAAAGAGTGAGAAATGTGCTATAATGTGCAGATGAGGATTCAGTCCTACTTTTGAGGTTGATACAGCACACATACCCTTGTATAATTCTGTCAACCCCTACAATGTCCCAATGGGCGAGCAAGCCTCTCCTCTGGGTCACAACTCCAGCATTCTCAGCTGCTGGAAAAAAAGTTCTACGAGACATTGGAAGGCACGATTCACACGCTCCATCAACCGCAATAGTTATGCAACACAACACAAACACACTCCAGGGAACTCCCAAGACTGATCTGATCTGACCTTCTATAACTGATGTGACGGCATCCAGCGAAGGAGAACATTCTTGTTTTTAGGTTTGTATCTTCTCTATAAACAAGTACTGAGATATGAGGATTTTTCTCACATCACCAGACTCTTCAGGCCTATGTGGCATCCCTGTCCATCCAGAGGTACTGGGTGCTGGGTCAGAGATTAGGCCACACATCTTCAGTGGTTGTCAGCTGAATGGCACAAGTCCAAGTTTGGGGGGCTATTAACAAGTACACACTTGCATGCTTGTGAACGTTTTCTGACCCAAATACCTGCTGGCTGGGAAAGCGATGTAAGGAAGTGAAGGGGAGAATGTGAAATAAGAAATAGGGTAAGGAGGGACGATGTAGGCTGTAGCTAACAGGTGAAAGGAATGGATAAGGTAAGTCAAAGTAAGTGGGCAAAAAAGTTAGCATTTTAACCTCGGGCCCAGCATTAGGCATGTTTGTGTGGAGGAAGTCTGTCTATGTGTGTGTATGATATCACCCTTGTGCATGCAAATGTGCTGCATATGCGTCATGTCTAACTATGACCTCTAAAGTATCCTTTTAGCAAACAATGTGTCATTGTTCATCCAAATAATGTGCTGCGTGTGAGATATTGACCAAAAAGTGCCAAACTGTAACAGGATATATGTAGAAAACATAAGTAGCTGTGTGTGAGTCATTCAGATGTAATCAGATATTCCTTTTGCATTATTAGAGAATGTGTGTAGCAGAGGAACACATGTAATAGTACAGCCAACACAGAGATACATGATGTTCTGCACAACCATTTCATAATAGGACTTAATTTAAACCAGACAAAGTGGAACATTTATTTTCCTCTCCTCCACTTCTCCTTCATATTTATCTCGGGTGCACTGGTTGTGTCTTGACAACAATGTTCTCCAACTGCACAAATCTTTAGACTGCTGATTTATTTCTGTTTTTGCGTATGTGAAGTCATGATAGGGGTTGAGGGTGGCCACTCTGACTTCCTACCCTATTATTCTCACAAACAATGCACACACACACACACGCACACACACACACATACACACACACAAGTGCACATCCCAAGAGCCTGAGCATCACTAAAGATCCCTGCTGCATCTGCGAAAGATTAAACAGCAGGATTATACAGGCCCCTTGCCAAATAGAGCCTTGACCTCATCATCCAGCTACGCACACACTGTCCCTTGCCATAACCAGGAACTAGTACTACTAGAGTACTGTGCCGTGTATTAATGATTGGGGATAGGAAATGGACATGTACAAAAACTCTCTCACAACAGAAAATAAAATCTAGCATGGTTGGTTTTTTCATGATTACTTTTCAAGGCAAACAGCCTGGTTTAAAGTACTTTGAAACTGATCTGTGTATACTCCTGTAAAAAAACTAATTGTTGTTTTAACACTCTTTGTGCTAAGCTAGGCTAACCAGCTGCTTGCTCCTGCTTCATCTTAAGAGTGGTATCAAGCTTCTGAGCTAACTCTCAGCTCATAATGGAACTACTGTAAGCATGTTTCCCAAACTCTTCCTTCTGATATATAGTCTGATTCATTATATTTTTGTTGGTTTCACAAGGCACCTTCTGACTGCACATCGCAATCTTCCCAAGAGCACATTAATTAAGTTAGCATACAACAACAGAAACACATCTGTGTGGGTTTTTGCTTAGGGATGCTTTCTTTCCAAATGGAGGTATACTGTACAAGTTAAAAGCTGCTTGGGCATACAGTATCTGCTGAAGTAAGGTCACTTTTTTATACAGATCAGAATGTACATTATGCAAAATAAAAACATTTTAATGTTATTTTATGTTTCAACTTTAAATACGTGTCAGACCCACAGCAGGCTAAAGAATGACCCTGCACAGCCAAGACCCAGAATTCATCACCATTTCCTTCCATTTCACCCTGTACATTAGTCACCTCCTGCAGCAACGCAGTTCTGAACAGGGACAATCTCAGGTCAGCTCTTTACTGAAATCTCAAACCATTGCTAATGCGTCCTCTTCCTCCTTTTCCTCCTCCTTCTTGCTCTAAAACTGTCTCCTCCTCTGCCTCCTTCCCGCACTCAAACAACAGCCCCCTGGTCTTGTTTCCAAAAATAATGTCCGTTTTGTTTCAAAGAATCCCTGGTATGTGCTGGCTACTAGCTCAAAGAATTCAACATTTTCCCCTTGTCCTACCAAACCCACTCACCCTGCACGCACACACAGACACACACACACACACACTCACACACACACACACATACACACCACAGCTATTTCTCGTGCTGCTGCCTCTTCTTTCCTGTATACTTCTTCCATCGTCTCCTACCTCTCTCGCTTTCACTCCCCTCCTCTCCTCTCTCTCTCCTCTTCTCGTCCTCTCCTCTCTCAGATAGTAGGTTCAAGAGTACAGTGAAACAGCAGAGGAATTATACCAGCTCACATTCCACACCCGACTGCAAAAAGGATTATCCCTAATACACAGTGTGTTTGGTTTACTAAAAAAACAGAAGGGGAGATTCGAGGCTGACAAGGTCATCTGGTCTCTTTATGCTCAGATTACAGCAGCGTGAGGGATTAAAGCCTGACTGTAGACATAAAGCCACGATTATTCAAAGTAATCTGGCTCCACATTTTCTTTTTAACCTGAATATTCACGATGTTAAGTTAATCAGAAACATAATATACTATTATGTCCGTCTGAGTATGTCCCTGTGTGTGTGTTCGTTCTGGTTAAAGGGAGCAGACTCCTACTGGAGGAGACCTATTGTCGTCATTTTATCCCCTTGTTCAAGTGCTGAGTGAGTCAGACCAAAGGCATCTCAGCCTGGCAGCACAGGAAGCAAGAACTGGGTTCAGCATCAGCCCATGAGCTCACCAACAAACACACAAACACAACAACACACACACACACACAAATATAAAGAGGCACACCATCCAGGAGCTTTACTCCACCCCCTAAATTAATATTTAATAACCAATGGGCAGCATTCTTGGAACAGCAACACATTTTGGTGAATACACACACACACACACACAATGCTGAATACCTCCCAGGGAGACAGAAGCATGAGTAGCATATCACATTATGTTTATAAGGCTGTATGGGTCAGAGAAGGTTAAGAGGTCAAACAGGTTTATGACATTGTACCCATCATCAGTAACTATATTTCATTCTGTATGTTTATAAAAGAAAGCATCTTTCAGGCACATAGCTGTGGAAAGCTTCATTTTTCACACTCACTGTCTTCAGGCTTGCTCTCTCTACCGCCTTCTTCACTTTGCCGTACGTGCCTTTCCCCAGAGTCTCCATCACCTCGTAGCGGCTTTTCAAGTTGTGTTTGTGCAGGTGCTTCTTCACTTCCATCGCCGCTGTGGCGGTCGGTGCCCGGCCCACCGCCTCCATGTCTGGGTTTCTCTGGCGCTTGTCCGTGCTGCAGGGACGGCGGCTGCCCGGTCTCGGGGACTCCTCGCCGGCACGGTGGTCGCTGGATGCCGCGTCCTGCAGACAACCGAGCTCGGATTGGTGGCTGGTGTTCATTGCGCTTCTGCTGTCTGCCTCACGTCTGCCCATCCTCTCTGCGCACTGTGCGCACCTGTCAGACGCAGCCTTCACTGGGACTCGATCCCCCAATTACTTTGATCTCTGAACTAAAAGCTGGCTAAAGAGCTCGTTAGTGACCGAGAAGTCGCCCATATATAGGCCGCTATCAAAGCCACAAACTAGTCTAATGGCATAAAAATCAGCAAATTCAAACAACCAGTTCCAGCCATTTGAGCAGCGGCTGTGCTCTCCTCTCTCGCCCTCTCCTCAAACACACAGCAACAGGAGAGACGGGAGCCACACGCTCCGGAGCGATGGGTGGAGCCTCCTCATTCCAATGCCAGCTCTCCAAGCAACATCCCGGCGCGTCACACTCCTTCGGGATAATTTTGGGTTTTCCGAGGGCTCATATTTGACCGGCTCAGCAGGAGGTGAGAGGGGATGAAGGCATCTGTGGAATGTCATGCGGGTCAGACACTCACCCTAAATCCACCACTTCAGTCAGACTAGTTTGTTGATGCTTTGCCATGCGGTGAGCTCAGAAAAAATAAATCCTTGAAAAGACTTTGAAGAAACTGGGAGGAAGGAGAGACTTTGAAGTCAGAGAGAAGGAGTAATGGTAGTTCCTGCCGGATTGAGTCCATTTATTTTATTTCAAACCCCACATATAAATAATAAATAAACATTAACAAAGTTGTTGATCTATGGAAAGCCAACTTGACTGGTATCAGTTTATTACCCCACATATATATAGAAAATGAAACAGTGACATAAGATTACAGGAGCACTATACAATAAGACTTATATTTATCATTTGTTATGGCTAAAATGTTAACTTAGCACTTAATGAAGCTTTATCAATCAAAAAAAGAGAAAATTACTGTACAGTTTATTTTTGTTTTACAGTCTATAATAACAATCCTAACCAATTTATACTTTATTAATAAAGACATTCGTAACTCTTTATGATTATATTGTCTTGGAAAACGGCTGCTATGGCTACAAGATTGCTCTCACCACAAAAATGACAGCATCTGCCATTTGTTTCAATGCTTAAAAAAATGTTTGGCATTTTGGGGAATATGCTTATTTACTTTCTTGCTGAGAGGTAGATGAGACGATTGATACCTACTCTCTTATCTTTCAATAGAAAGATGGAACCAGGAGATGGTTAGCTTAGCACAAAGACAGGAAACAAGGGGAAACAGCTAGCCTAGTTCTGTCCAAAGGTAACAAAACCTAAATCCTAGCAACTCTGAAGCTCAGGGCTGGTTGTCCCCGAACCTGAAGCTGATGCCTTGAACGGGTATGAAGTCTGATGGTTTGCAAGATGCACTCACTCATTGAAACTTGTTTTAATATTTATTGTGCAAAAAAAATAGTTTGTAAATGTTGTAAAACTGTAACAAAACTGTTCCATAAAATCCATTCAACTTCAAACGCATACACCCCCCCCAAAAAAAACAAACAAAAAAAACAAAACAAAAAAAAAACCTTAAAGTTATTGGGAAAAACCTTAGTGGTCAAAATTGGAATAAAACCACATCCTGCCTGTCTGACACCGCTCGACTATATACTTTGTGACAATCAACCTCTTGTGGTCATACAATCAATGACTGTTGTTTGTTAGAAGCAAAGGCGGAGGAAGTGTGTGACACCACTGACTGCAGTTTGCATCCTGTCTCTTACCAACAGACAACACTGGTTCCTTTAGGCCATGATCACAATCTCTCCCTACTCTTATTCAAGTGGTTTAAAATTGAAAAAACAAAACCAAACCTCCTACACAGCAGTGGAAGATGAGAAAGCTTTCACATAAATAGTTTGTGTAAAGGTCTGTGAGTAATTTTCAAAGAAATTAACCAATTTTGTTGTTTGGTATAAGGATTTGTTGATGGTCACTTGACATACAAGTCCAGGAGTCAAGCCAGCATTTTAAGTTTTAAAAGACAGGAGCTTGTTTACCACACATCCTGGCTCCTGGCATTGTTGCCCAGAGTCAGGAGGAGATGAATTAGGGTGTGACGAGGTCTCGAGGATTGAGGTTAGCCACCAGACAGACGTCATAGCAGTCATGCATGGCTGCTCGTCTTTCCACCACCGTCCACACATTGTCTGCAGGATCCAATTCCAAAATCTCCTTGGTGATGATCTCATGACGGCCTGCAGTCATGAGAGCAAAGCATGTAAGTTATGGCTGACCAAAATCTAATTTCCAGAGATACTGCCTCACCAGTTAGCTGGCATTCCCTCACGCTGATGCAGACCCAAATTCTGCCTTGTTTTTGTACAATAAGAGACAAGTGAAGTTAAACTTATTAGGGTGACATTTTCTAAGAGACTACACATAACAAGCTGTTAAAAGAATATTTTACTAACTGACCGGCTCCCTTGTAGTATCCACATAGGTAGAGCTTGCCCTCCACTACTCCTATATTGGAGGAGTTGGTGCGGAGGGAGAGTAGAGCTGTGGGCAGGGTAGGTCCCACCCTCCAGGTGTCTGTGTCTGGGTTATAGATCTCCACAGAGCTCAGACAACGACGCGATTGTCCACGGTCCTCTCCATCACACCCTATTCCACCTGAAGAACATACACACACACATTATCTGCCTCCATTCTTTATCATACTGAATAAATATTTAGGAATACACTTATAGTCGGCCTTGTAGTCTGACCTAGTATGTAGATTTCTCCGTTGAGGACAGCCGTGCCACAGCGGTACCTTGAGTACTTCATCCTGGCACACTCTGTCCACCTGTCCTTGCCAGGGTCAAAATGAAACACACGATTACTCAGCTTGTCAGGCTCATCATCTGGATGGTGCTGAGGGAGGAGAAGAGAGAGTTGGATAGGAGGAGGAAGAAAAAGACAAGAAAGGGGTGAGAAATGAGACATTGAGGACTGAGAGGGCAAACATTACACTGAATCTTTCACCATCTGATCTTTAAATAATTTAGTTGCTTTAAAACCACAGTGTGTTCGATTTTTTGTTGTTGTAGATAACTGAGATGTTGCAATCTTTCAGCCCACTGACCTCAGTGTCCTTGACCTTGGATCTGATATGTGCGATGGTGTTGCGGTGTCTTTTTTGTATCTGTTTCAATGCTACCACTAGAGGGCAGGCCCGAACTGAGAAAATTCTTCCCATAGCCTTAATTATGGAAGTTCAATTGACTAACTTTTGAAACTGAGGACACTAATTTCTTTGTGTGTAGCAATAACACCAAAAGATACGTTACTGGCAAAAACAGTACACAGAAAAAAAATTATTCAACAAAACAGAAACAGGTAGGTATATACATGGTCTGCTGTGAATATGTGGAGATTCGCCTGGGCTGATGTTAGATTCCCGGCCTGAATTATCCCAGTCTGGCACTCCTAGAGTCTGGAATTTTGTAATGCTGACACTTGGATTTACAGCCCCATAAAAGTATTTCTCTGAAAGATTAAATATTATATGTATCGATCAAAGTTAAACTTGAGTAAAAACATTCTTATATATTGAGTTTAACGCATAAAAACTCACATGCTTCATCAGGATCAAATTTGATTGACAGGGCTGGCTACATGAGTAAACAACCCCATTAATGTCACCTTACATTTTGAATCAAATATCATTTAATCTTGATTGGCATGCAGAAATATGGAGCCTACAATTCCTTCTTTGTCATAAAATTTTGAGTTCCAGTTGGATCCAGTATTTCATAGCAATAGGTTTTCAGGGCCTTTTAATAATTGAGCCTTTACTAATAACTGTGGGGGAAGTTTTCAGGCAAAAGGCAAACCTGAACCCATTCATTTACTACACAGTTAATAGTACACAGTTAACATAGTGTTTTTGACACACTGTGTACCTGTGGTGTCCAGCCCGCCAGCACGTAGAGATGCTCCTTTAGGCTGACGGCACAGTGACAGGCTAAGGGGAGAGGCAGAGGGGCGAAGCTGAGCCAGCTGCCTCCTCTCTTCAGCGACCATCTCTCCACACTGTTTGTGATGATGTAGTGATTACGCTCTTTCATCTGACCGCCTATCATATAGAGGCCATCCCCTAACAGCCCAAAAGCATACATGTCCCTGTATGCTGCTGAGCACAGCTCCACCCAGCTGTTTTCCTCTGAATTATCGTACCTGGAACATAAACAGGCCTTAAAGATCTGTTGTTGAATGCAGTGTCATTCAAAAATATGGATTTCTTACATATGAGCATGCATAAACACCTGTAAATATCCACCCTCTTCATCCTGTGTTGATCTTCTGCCTCTATGGCTACCAAGATGTTGTTATCTCGTGTCACTGCCCCTGCTGTGATCTGTCCCATGCCTCCACAGCTCCTCAGTGGAGAGGGGATGTAGTAAGTCCTTCTACCATGGGGGGCAAAGCAAAAACTGAGGTCAGCAATACCTCCACGACGGGCAGGCACTCCCTCCTTATTCACCCCACCCAAGCAGAGCAGCAGGTCAGTGGTCTCCATGCCATAACGAAGGGGGGGCCGTGGTGGAGCTGATGTTTCACACAGGCCTGAGGTCTGGAGAGCAGCATCAATCATTCCAAAGCACTCAGCATCCCGCAGCAGTACCTGCAAGATTCATTTATAGGCGTGGTAGTCTGTTAATCAACTAATTCCTCAATAAATGTGATATCTAGACTTTTATCTTTTATCTATTTCCATCTCTTTTCTCTCACTGGGTTTCTCCTCCTGGCTTTACGGAGGAATCCAGGGTCCACAAGCTCCAGCCGGACACGTCTGAGTAATTCCACAGCCTGGGCTTCACTCTGCGAGTCCCCCCTTCGCCTGTCCACCCAGCGTAGCACCAGCTCCAGGACCACCTGCTCCTGTGATATGTTGAGGTCATCTGAACCCAGCAGATCCCCAAGACTTTGGGCATCCAGCTCCAGCACTTCTTCTTCCTCACAAACCTTGAGGCAGCAAGATAAAGAAGGAGGAAAACAATGGCAACGATCGCGTTACAGAGGATGGTATATATAGAGGATGGTAGGAAAGTCCGTATCACATCAACACTCTAATTCACTGTGTAAAAAATGCAAGTGACTTCCGCCCCCTAGTGGCAGCAATAAATAGCTTAAAAACAGAGAACAAGAAAGGCTTGTAAAATGTTACGCAGCTGTCATGTCGATGTTGTTGTTTTCATTGTTATATTGTATTTTTGACTTATGTTTGAATATTTTTGACTTACGTATGTCATTTTGTACAAATATCATCTGCCCTGAGCCTTTAAATTAAGTTGGTCCTAAGTGTGCATATAGATACATATCAA